CCATGAGCATGCACCACGCTCATCCGTAACAGGTCATGGACACAAGTCATGCTAAGTCAAGCTCCATACTTCTTCTATGGAACCAGGCCAACATACATTTCTATGCAAAAATTTGTACCTTCATCTCCCTCCACAATTTCTTTCTTCTGGCTTATGTTCACACAAGAATATAAGGGCTGTCATGTGGTGGGATTTATTTGTGGATTTTCATTTGATATTCTGGATAAAAACTGGATGTTAAATGCTGACTTTTATGCTATAGAAATGTATGTTGGCCTGGTTCCATAGAAGAAGTATGGAGCTTGACTTAGCATGACTTGTGTCCATGACCTGTTACGGATGAGCGTGGTGCATGCTCATGGAGCATGAGCATTAGATTGGTTTGTTCATAAATTAAGATTTTAAGAATTCTGGGAGTAAATACTGACCCTCACATTTTTGTGGTTTAGGCTGTCTCACTTGTCTTTGAAGGCCTGTATGCAGTTCATTTCTTAATGTTTCGCACACTGACTGCCTAAATTGGTTTCTTAATGTAAATGAAACAGTACTAAGCCATTAGTGTTTTTATGTTAAATTTTAGTACTATATGCCAAATAAGTGAAGTAATTCATTTTTTTCTAAGGATAAATATTACATTTATTTAATGGAACACATTTATTTCCTTGCATAACCCAATCCAAAATGTATGCTTGCTTTTAGGGAAGAAGATGACATTAATGATGTGGCTTCTATGGCTGGAGTTAACTTGAGTGAAGAGCACGCATGCATATTGACCACAAATTCTGAAGCAATCGGTACTGTTTTGTGCTCTTGTTCAGAGAAGCTGCTCCTCTCTTCAGAGGCATTGCAGAAGAGGATCTTAAAAAAAGGTGAGAAGAATAGTTCTTCAAACTCTTTGTTTGAAGAAGGGACACTTTTTTTGTCAAAGCAAAAGTGCCCAATTTAAACAGTAAACTGATGGCATATCATTACTAAAATGGATGTAATGGAACTCCTGTGTAACATTGTTAACATTCATCTTGAAAAAAAGAGCATACATTTGAAGTTACCCTTAAAGTATTAAAAGTTTTATTTTATGTTATTTTTAGGGTTATGGCATCAGCACTATTAGATTTATTTTTTTTGAGGCCAACTTGAACAGAATTGCAAGAGTGTTTCTGAAAAGATTATATATAAATGAAAATATATGAAACAAACAATTGATAAAAATCTACCTGTACCTTTTCACCTATTTGGTCAGAAATCGAAACATTTTCAAGCAAGTACTAAGCCACTTGAATTTCCTATGTCTGTCATGCATGATTTTCTCAAAAGAAGTTAAAGGTTGCTTTAAATATTTGTGACTTTGTTATCAACTGTAAGTTTCTGGTCCAAAAGTTCATGATTGCCAAGTCCACTTTGTTTGCTAATAGAGGTATTGGTATTGGTATTGTATGATTTATTCAGGGCAGTTAGAAAAGATGTGCTTTTCCTGGCCCAAATAGAATGAACCCAGAGACTTTGTTCATGTCTTGCTTATGCAGCTCTCCTGAAAATTCCCTTGGAACAGTGGTGGGATTCAAAAAAATTTACTACAGGTTCTGTGGCGTATCTTGGTGGGCATGGCAGGGGAATGGATACTGCAAAATCTCTATTCCCTCCCCAGTCCTGGGTGAGATTACTGCAAAATCCCAATTCCTTCCACACCCCACTAATCTGCTTTTCAGCTCCGTTCTCCTGTGCAGGGCAACAAAAGAACATCCAGCAATCGGCTGGTAGGCAGCAATAGACCGACCATCATCTGGGACTCGGAGGCTCATAGGCAGAAAATAAATGGGGGCGGGGCTAGTCAGAGGTGGTATTTGCCAGTTCTCCGAACTACTCAAAATTTCCAATACAGGTTCACCAGAATCGGTCAGAACCGGCTGAATACCACCTCTTCCTTGGAAGATAGTTTTTGCTACATCCTTTCTTTAGTTTTAAGTTTACTTAAGAAATTCATCCACAGTACTTGAAAGCAATTTTCTATGATTGTAATACAAATTACATTAAGAGGATCAGACAGGAGCCTAAATCCATGTTTAACCTGATTCCAGAATTAGTCTTCTTGTTAACAGTGCTAATTTAGATTGTTCTTGAGGACCATTCAAGTATTCAGAGATTTGATTGAAAAGAGTATTCAATTAAACCTCCAAATTAAATTGGAAAGTGTCAAATTGAAATTTTAAAACAGGATTTGAATCTGTTTGGATTGTTTAGATGCCCCAATAGAAGAGAATTTAATTGCTCCCAGCAAGTCTAAGGTCTAAAAATAGAAGAAAAAATGAAAATATGATTTTATTTGACATCCCAGCACTCTTAGCACCATAGACTCCAGAAGTAGCAAATGAATCTATGGCAGCAGTGCCAGACAATATACCCAACCTAATCAAATACAGTAAAGTCTAAATATCCAGAATCCTAGACCTCATCAACCTCTACCTCACTACCTGCTTTTAGTTTGATGGACAAATACATCAACAAATCAGAGGAACCTCCATAGTCTCAGGACTCATATCAGAAACAGTAAATGCTATAGTGAACTATAGAAATTATAGCACTCCCACACATAACAACCAAAATACAGATCTGATGCGTAGATACCTTTCTCAAAATAAAGGAACAACTAGAGAAGGCACAACAATGAATCAACAGCATCTTCAAATGAATAACGTTCACAAGGGAAGGATAATAAAAAGCTAAGGAAGAAACAGAAAGCAGAATACATCATGTCCAATAGCCAACATTTATGTAAGCATTTGTCAGATTAGCATCTGACAAACAAACAAGCAGAAACCGATATCTTAAGGAATTACCAAAAAGAAAAGTGCACCACACCAATAACTGGCAGAGCAAGCTACCGGTATGCCCTTGTTCATAGGCATACTGGCAGGGAAGAAATGCTTCTAAAAGTGAAATAAAGAGGGTCCAACAATTGTACGACTCACAGCTGATCTGCGCGATTTCCCCCCCACTTTTTAAAGCTTTTTTTTCCTGCTGGTTCGGGCGAATAGGTAGGAAAAAAATGCTTTAAAAAGTGGGGAAACATTGGCCACGCCCACCTGGTCACATAACCCCCCCAAGCCACGCCCACAGAACCAGTGGCAAAAAAATAGATTTCACCACTGCTTAAATGTCTAAAAAAGCTAATTCTAGTGAGTCTACAAGAAATGCAGCGTATATGTGTAGCTCAAGGTAATCAGTTCCCAATAATAACAGTAATGCAATATACTATATAAACATGGAAATGACTCTTCCTGCCCCAGTTAGCTGCAGTCATTGCATCCTATATTTTCTTGGAAGTAAGCCTTGTATATCTATATTTTCGTTTGGAGGAAAGTGAGATGCTGTATTTGAATGAGTTTTGCTTCAAAAGATTTAGGAGTAAAATGTAGAACACCTAGTCTGGGGGTGCAAATTAAGCTATCCATGCTTTTAAACAAATCCACGTTCTTTCTTTGATTACTGGATCAGCATCTGAGTTACTAAAGTGAAGCTTTTTTGCAGTGCCAAAAGTTCTCTCTAAATCTGGCATGTATTGGTTGATAACACATCCCAACAATTGAATATACAAGACAAGGTGACTGTTTAGTTTTCAACAGTGGTATTTCTTGTTCTCTTGCCATAGAAGCCAAGAGCTTCTTTGCATCTATTTTGAGAGCACATTTTACTCTAGGCATAAAATAAGATGCCTTTTCTACATCACTACAGTTGGTGTTTTCAGTTATGACACCTCTGAGGAAGAGATGCAAGAAAATGCCTTTGGGTGTGTATTTTTTGAAGTTCCGTGTCATTGAATCGCCCAGGTACTCATAGTACTTTCCTAAGCTTGCACTGATGGAGGTCAGTTGTCAACTAGACAAAGAACCCTGAATTAATATATGTACAACTTAAGGGCATGACAGAGGTGATGCTTCCTCTTAGAACATTGCTCAGGCAGTTTCACTTGAAACAAACAGCATTCCTGTTGCTCCAGGGAACATTAGTCAAGGGAATGAGGACAGCGGCAGTGCAGAAAAAGCAAACTTTGGACAAGTTGCAGTTATGATAGAAATGGAAAGAGAATGGTTTTGGATCTTAACTGAGTGAGCTGTCCTGCAAGTTATTCTCTAAGCAGGGCAGGTCAAGGTGCCATAGGTTATTTTGGTTGGGGCACAAATAGTACAGATAAGCCTGGAATAGGATGCAAAAGACACATCTGTTCATTAACACATCAGGATTTAATAAGTACAATGTCAAACAGGACAAAAACTATTTCTGTATTTTTAATTACTGAAATTAACTGTATACGCCACGAACTTCTACAGCTACTGCTTCTCTCCTTTTCCAAACCAAAAGGCCTGATTTCTGCATTCCTATTAACTTTATCCTATAAATGACCTTGCAAGGAGAGTGATTCTAGAGGCTAAGTGAAACAATGTCTATTTTCTGAAGCTGTAGGCTAGGTTTTATTAATGTAACGTCTAAGATCTTTGAAGTTGTGACTTTACCAGGAAAATCACAATCTCCCAAACCTTTATTCATAATGGGTATGACTTCCAGGGGGAACAGAATGCCTGCTGTGCTAATTATTTCAATTATCAGCTAGTACTAAAATACGTAATGGATTTTCTCTGCCTCAACAGGTAAAAGGCATGACATTATGGAAGTTAATTCTGATGTTCTGAACTTGATCTCCTATGCTACCCAGGAGAGATTAATAGGACTTCTAGAAAAACTAACTTTAATTGCTCAACATCGTATAAGGACCTATAAGGTAAAAATAATGATTGCCAAGTTTCAGTTCGTCCTTTTTAAATAACTAGTACCTTGGAATGATTCATCTTAATTTATCCTGAAGAATTTATGCTCACAGGACCTGGATCGTACACACTATGCAAAATATTGATAAAACAAACTGTATCCATTGATGGGAAGGAGCAAAAGACTTCTGCAGATTCCTGATTGTTTTGCTTTTATTTGTAAGGGGAGAAAAGTGCATTAACCATTGTAATCATTAAGGATGGCATGTTTTGCTTGGATAAGATCTGGCAATATAGCAATTGAGCATAATCATATAGCAATAGCACTTAGACTTACATGTAGCTTCATAGTGCTTTTACAGCCCTCTCTAAGCGGTTTACAGAGTCAGCATATTGCCCCCAACAATCCGGGTCCTCATTTTACCCACCTCAAAAGGATGGAAGGCTGAGTCAACCTTGAGCCAGTGAGATTTGAAGTGCTGAACTGCAGCTAGCAGTCAGCCTGCAGTACTGCACTCTAACCACTACACCACTTCAGCTCTGTGGAAATTTAAATATGTAAACAGATTTTTTTCTCCCCTTTGATAAAGTAAAGCATCAATTTTTGTTTCAGTAGTATTCCATACAGTTATTTGGGAATTTTTGATTAAGATAAAGATGGGCCACCTGCAAACTTCAGAATCCATAGGAGTTGGGCATCAATAAATTTTAAATGAATAAATAAATAGCCTTCATCTAATTTTAAATCTCATTTGCAATCAATTAAAATCTCTGACACAATCTATTCTGTCCTTTCCCTTTAATAGACAGAGAAAGGTACAGATAGCCACTTATAGCCACTCATTTAGAGACCAGTTACCAATGGCACTGGAAAAGCAGTCCTTGCTCTTATTACCGTTAGAGCATCCCCACAATCATGTGATCAAAATTCATGCACCTTACAATTGGCTTGTATTTATGATGTTGGCAGAATTCTGGGGTCATGTGATCAACATTTACATTTTCCCCAACTGGCTTCAGACAAGCAAAAGCAATGGGATAAGCTGGATTCACATAATGTTAAGTATAATTTACTTAACAATTGCAATAATTCACTGAAGAACCATGGCAAAAAAAAAAAGATTGTAAAATCAGATATGACTTACTTAACTGCTTTGCTTAGCAACTGAAATTCTGGATCCAGTTGTAGTCATAAGTGAAAAACTCCCTATATTATGTATATTTAAATGGGCTATGAGACACTTATAACTAACCAATTCCATAATTTTTTCCTAAATGCCTTTTTACATTTTGACTTACTTTGAAGTTAGACACTTGAAATAATGTGTTTGGGAATTTTAAGTATCAGGCAGCATACATTCACCAGAATGCTTTTTCAGAAAACATATTTTTTGGTATTAACTGCAGCTGCCTTTATTTAAAAATCCAATGAGCCCAGTTATATGGTAGTTAGAACAATGAGACTACAGAGTTGTTTTTGAGGTTTCTGCCAGGGATTTTCCCAGGAATGGCTCTACTTGCAAATGAAAGACAAGTTATATTTGAGTGCCACAAAGGGATATGCTAGCGAATAAAAAATTGACTGCATTTGTACTTTAAATGCTTCCAGAAAGGAAACGCGTTAGCTATATTAAGTGATTTGTCTGATATGTAGGTGTTTATCTCTAAAAAGTTCTTGTTTTCTATGGTTAACAAATTACTATATTTCATGTTGTTTTGTAAGTAAATAGATCCTTATGTTGACATCAGTATTTTGTTGTGCAAGTGACAAATTATGCATTTGCTTTTTCCCCCCTTTTTCTACAAGGGGAATAACAAGTACATTTTATCTAATGATACGCGGTCTCAGCTTCAGTTTCTTGAACAATTGGATCAGGTTGAGAAACGGAGGAAAGATGAAGAAGAAAAAGAACAGTTGCTCCGAGCAGCCAAGGTGAGAGAATTTAGAAGGCAAGGAATGGCAGCAGAAATCTTTTTTCTCTTTATTTTCATTGTTGGGACTATTTTACTTCTTTATATTAAAGAAAATAATTTTTAAAACTTGCTGCAGGAAGAATGATATATACAGGTGAAACTCGAAAAATTAGAATATCGTGCAGAAGTTCATTTATTTCAATAATGCAACTAATATATGAGATAAGACTCATTACATGCAAACCAAGATAGTTCAAGCCGTGATTGTGATGATTATGGCTTACAGCTCATGAAAACCCTAAATCCACAATCTCAGAAAATTAGAATATTACATGCAATCAATAAA